TTTTTTTATTTTAACGCAAAAAATATCCAGAGCTTCCCGGGCAATGCACGGCATTAGTTAAAAACAAAATTGAAGGCCGCCTTTCATCGTCATGCGTAAAATTCTCTAACGGTTCATCTAGAAAGCTGAAAGCTCAACGCACTGTTAGCTCTCGTTGGTGAATTTAAGAACGGCTGGTGTGGGTAGATGGGCGATCACGCCAAAAAGGAACGATGTCATGGTTATGAACGGCATTTGAAATAAGGCGATAGAGTTATACGTAGTTTTGTCGTACCACTACCGTTTCAATGTTTACTGGACACTGCTCAGCGAGTTTCGAATTTCCAACCGAAGAAGACAGCCCCGCCCACTACGAATGCCACAAGTACCATCGCATACACCGTGTCCATGTAACACGTCATTGCATCCCACTTGTCGGGATTACTCCGAGCATACGTCTAGAGCTCCCTGAGTTGTGTTGGGGTAACTTTGGTCGGTGTCTTACTCAAGCCTACGATACTTTTCACTTTGGCAAGAGCTTCACTTGCATATCTTTTGTTCAGCTGTGCTTGATCCATCGTGTTCATTTTCGAACGAAAGAGCCCTCTGAGTCTGTTAAGGGCTCTAAATGACCCCGCTCTCTCTTCACCCTCGCTGAAAACGACCTCTTCTTCTTTTTCGGTACTCTTCTGGTTACGATCGGTGTCGTGATGGAAAGCCTTTGTCGAGTTCTGGATGACAGTCGTGTCTGCGGCTGCGGCTGCAATGAAACTCACTGCTATGCGTAGAACGATGAAGCTGGTCTGCATAGCGATACTCTGACGAATACAACGATGAACGTATTGTCTGATACAGAGCCGATTCGAATCTGACCGACGCTGTCCGTGTTGTCGTTCAGCGGATCATACGAGCGCATACAGTTTGTTATTTTAATTGAGACGAGTGAAAGATAGATTCTGAGATCGTGAGGTGTGCATATGATACGTTTCTTGCATCTCGTTCAGTATATTCACGTGCGAATAGTAAAAGGGTTACTGACTTTGCAATAGCAAGTGCGCGTATTCATAGCAAAAAACCAACGCAGTATTTAGGTCGTTAGGTCTATATCGACGTCAAGGTCTACTTCAACGTCAACAACTAACCTGGCAGTAACTATATACGAGAGATAACTTTGCACGTTAGAACTGACATCTCATCATTGAAGGTGACATCCATTCGCCCAGCCAACGATTGAGGGGCTCTTCGAGGCAATGCGGCCATAAGTCGGCTAATAATCCGCGAGTAATCAAGGGAAAATTAAGATAGCGTAAACGACACGCTACAAGTAAAACTTCAAATCAGTATTGTCATAAAAAAA